TGTAGATATTAAGCTGTTCTCGCTGGTAATGAGTGAGGGTGGTAGTGGCAGGAGCTTTATTTTTCATGTTTTCTAAACATCCTTTATTTTAAGAATGGTTGCTTTTAAGTAGTTCACGTTTGTCTTTTTCTTAATAGATAGAAAAATTGTTTACTATCATCACATAGTAATTATCTTTAACTTTTCAAAGGTCCATATATATCGTGGGCTTTTTGTAATTCTGTTTTAAAAGAATTTTAAAAGTGTAAAAAGCAGCTTTCACTTTTCAAATGTCAATCATGTATTCTCTTGGATTCTATACTTCAAGGACTTGACTTCATGTTTTCCATAACTCGAGGTCACTGAAGAGATCATTTTGGTCTAAATCACTGCTGACAGTCAGGTAGCATCTGGACTCAGGGCTTTTGGAACCCTTGCACTGTGCTACCTAAGGGACCCAGGATAAATGGAAGGTTCCACTTATATGGCTTATTATTCTAGTCGTATCATCTTCTCCTTAAACCTAAATTTACACTAAACAATAAGAACGCAATTCTGACTAAATTTTGAGCTGCATATTTTAACTTTCAGGTATCTCTACATATGAAGTTGTGTGTGGTATGTGATATGTGTGGGGTTATGTCCATGTGCATGTACTAAGAGGACAACACTGGCCGTCTTGTTTGATCTCTATCTTATTCCCTTCAGGCAGCGCCTCTCAGTGAACCCAAGTTTGGCATTATGGTTTGGCAGCCTAGTCAGTGATCCCCAGCTCATCCATCTGTCTCTGCTCTGTAGCATTAGAGTGACAAGCATACATGCCTCTACCAGTTTTTTAGGGAGAGGTGGAGAATTTGAACGTAGGTCCTCATATTTGTGTAAGTACTCTGGCCACTGAACCATCTTCCAACACACTATTAAGCTTTATAATCGGGTGAGAAGAATTTAGCAACTTTGCAGAATGATTAACAAACTTTCAGCTTATTGGTATTGATTTAAACTTTTATAGAAATTCAAATGTTTATTAATTTGTAGAGAAAAATCAAATTATTTCTAAAAATATACTTTATGTTTAACTTATTTAAGTAATACGGAAGAAATTATATGAGACACAAATGAATATTTGAATACAAAGATAAATTTTGCCCTATTCAAATATCTATAATGGATTAAAATCAAATTTGGATGAGTTATAATTTATTCATATACACTGTCATACACTAGGGCTATACTGAATTCTTTGATTCACTCACATAGCATTTAATGAATATCTTTTGTGAAAAGCACTATATTTGATCCTAGAGCTTTAAAAAATAAGGCATGCTTTTGACTCAGTCCAGGCATTTTTTGCAGCTGAAATTGCTAAACTTTTGTTTTTACTTATCAATATGAAATACAAGTCATTCAGTGTCCAGAACCTAGCACTTGGGTTTTATCATAGACTTTGAAACAGTACAATGGATGGCAGCATATCTTGTATCTTGTATCTTCCCTTTCTCCAGATTGCTCTCTTTTCTTTGCCCACAATTCCCAGTGTGCTAGACAACCTCTTCAGTGACCTTCCTCCATGTTGCCTGGAATGACTGTGCTCCCTTCTGTTTCCTGTACAACTTGTATTCTCTGTCCATTTTAGGTACCAACCCTATTCTGCCAGAGGGATGAAGGATGAAGAGAAGGCTAGTATTAGAAATCTGTAGAACATTTATGAGTCAAAGGTGATAGGTGTAAGGACTGAGAAGCAAGAGAGAGTGGCATGTTCCGGAACAGACGGATATCTCATATTTCTGTACCCCTGTAGCCAAGGTCTGAGGTGGGGTTGTCCTCAGCTGAGCATCCTTCTGCTGCCAGAGGGCATGCCATCAATCATCTCGTGCCAGTCTCCACTTTGGACAATCTCCAAAGTCCCTTCTCTCCTGCTTCAAAATGCTGAAGATCTTTTCAGTTTAAAAAGGCACTCTACTTTGACTCCTGCTGTTCTTTGAAAATCTAACTTCCTCATTTTAGTATCAGATTTCCCAGTCAACAGAGGCCTTTCTCATCTGTACGGCCTCACTCAGCTTTTGCAAATGTGGTTTGCATCTCCGCTATCATTTTCAGTATGTGGTCCAAGATCATCAGAGACTTCAGTTTCAGCTCCAGTGACCTCTACTCAACTCTCATCCTTCTTGACTTTGTCACATTCTTGAAAGTCTTGCTTTCCAAATACTCTTTTTCTGTATTTCATGAAAACAAATTCTGTACATAGTTCTGCTACCTTGATGACCCTTCTTTGACACGTATCTCCCAGTCTCTGAAATGCTGAAGCCACCCATTCCCCATCTCATTGTCTGTCTGTCTGCTTCTTCATTATTCCTCATCTCCTTACCAGCAGTTCCACTCCCAAGGCGGCAAGCCACGCATTCTCTGTGGGTAACTCCTACGCCTGTTTCTCTAGGCTTGCCTTCTCTTCAGGTATCCAGAAACATCCTTTCAACAGCAGGTGGCCAGCATAGCTCATGTCCATCACTCTCAACCCTGCACAATGCAGAGTTCATATGCTTCCTCCCCAGCCTTGAGACGTCTGCCATGTTTGTAAATGATTAAGGGTTAAGTTTGTCTTATCAAGACTCATCAGGGGCCCTCTGCAATGACTCTCAAGCATACCCTTCCTGCTTTGTTGAATCAGAGACACTTCACTACCTCATATGCACCTCTAACAAGCCCTCAAGAGTCTGTCTCCTGGACTAGACCAGTTCCCATCAACCCTTTACTGCTATACCATCAAAGATGCTGACAGAATGATACTCCTAATGATCCCCAGATCTTGGCACGTAATTCCCCCATCATCTTCAGTGGTGTCTTGCTATTTACTGCAGGTGGTTTCTGAGCTCCCTGGGCCATAGTCTAGCCTATCGCCTTCTTGGGATCAGCCAGCACATCAGGTACAAGGTTTTGTTTTCTCTTGAATTTGTTTTCCTGTGACTTGGAATGCCACATTCCACATCTACTTGTTAAAAATTCCCCAGTCTACTTACGGCTGACTTAAATGGCATCAAGTCTGGTTAATTTTTTTTTTATATCAACAGAAAATAATCTCCGCTTATTTTGTATTTCCCTCTACATTAGTTAAATTAATGCATCTACGTGAGTTTTTGTCTTGTGGTCTATTACTTCATTATCTTCTCAAAGGTTCTTTTTGAGGACAACGTCCACCGCTCTTTTTCCTTGGCATGCTCTAAGTCACTCTGCAGCCTCTCAACGCTCTGCTGCCTCAGTGCTCTGCTCACTGTGTGAGAGTGCTTCCTAGTCCTCAAGGCCATGCATGTGCCAGCATTAGAGTATTACTATTTTGTACTGTTTTGATGGCAGGCTCAATAATATCCCACTTACATGTTTACAAGGCTCCCAGCCTCAATATATCCTGCAAGGCCTAGCCTCTTGCTCTCATGATTTTTTTTTTTCCCTACAGAGAGCAACTGTCTCCTGGCATCACCATGACTGCCCCAGGCTCGCTGTCTTTCACTCTCTTAACACCCACATATAAACTAATAGTAAATCCTGTCAGCTCTACCTTTCAAACACACACCAATTAATTTCTTTCTTAAATCCCAGCTGCTACTATACTTCCCAGGCCCAATACTCAACGGGTCTGTTTCAGTTACTGCAGTCCTTCATGGCTGGTCTCCTGCTTCTCCTCTGCTCTCCAGCTAGCCCATTTTCTTCATGGAGAGATTCCTCTTCACACAGTGGTAAGTGAGATCACTCCACAGCTCCAGCAAGCAGGCAACCTCCTCCCACCAAAAGTCACAGCAGAGTCTATGGCAACCTCCGAACCTGGGCTGGGCCCCGAGGACTCCTCTCTGGACTCTTCTCCTTGGTCATCATTTGCAGCCACACTAGAGCTCTCACTGGTTTTCTAGGAAACCAGGCACACTTACAACTCTTTAGAGCTCCCTTACTATGTAACTGTGAGTTCAGAGCTACCCTGCTAAGGGTTGAGAATGTTAAAATACGATTTCCATGTGAATTAGGGAGCTAAGGTAATGGCTTAGGCTTACACTGTGTAAAATCTGCAGTAATGCCTGGAGTGATTGTGTGCAGTCTTTCAGGGCTCAACATTACTTGCAAAGGGAAAGGGAAAGGGAAAGGGAAAGGGAAAGGGAAAGAGAAGTAGAAGTTGAATAGAATTAGATGATTCTTAGAGTACCCTTTTCAGGTTTTGTTCCAAAGAAACAGACTGGCATTAGTTAAAGATCTCAAGAAGCAACATGCAGCTGGTAGGATGAATAGCAATTCCCTTTTAGTACCTGATTAAATGTTTAAACTTTAAATTTTTTATATTAATTATAATTTATTCACTTTGTAGCCCCCTCCCTTGATCCCTCCCAATCCCACCATTTATCTCATCTCCTCCCATGCCCCTCTCTAAGTCCACTGATAGGGGAGGTCCTTTTTCCCTTCCATCTGCCCCTAGCCTATTCAGTCTTAACAGGACTGGCTGCATTGTCTTCCTCTGTGGCCTGGTCAGGCTGCTCCCACAACTTTTAAAAAGTATTCAAGATTGTTAACTTGAATATCATCCAAGCCAAATGTATAAATGTTATATTGATATTTATTTCAGTAATATACTAATCTAAATGAACTTATTTCTACTAAAATATCAACCCAAGAAAGTACATCATCACTAATGTTAGTGTTATTAAAGAGAAACTATAAAGCCTAATAGGACTATTAAACAACAACCTAGGGGAAATGCACAACTCATTCTAAACCTAAGAAAATTCAGAGCTACAAGCCCAAGTAGTCCTATGCTACATGGTATGTGAAAATCTGACAACACCATTCTATCACTGAGTTTAATTACTAATTAATTCCACAAAAGTCAAGGGGAGAGGTACAGAGCAAGACATTCAGACTGCTCAACTATGGCTGAAGATTAGATCCATGCTACCACCCTTCAGACATTAAATACCAGAGCTGGACAGCAGGCTTTAAGTCGGCATTGCTGCGGTCTAACCAAAGCCTACGAAACGGCTGCTCACCTTCTCCAGAGTCATCTCGGTCTCAGCAGCGTGCGTCTTCTTCAGCTCCATTTTCACTCTCTCAGATTCGGCCTTCAGCTTGTTGACAGCAGTCTCATGGTCCCTCGCAGCCTTCTGCTTCTCTTCTTCTCGGAGAAAACCAAGTTCTATAAGCTGCTGTTTCCGCTGAGAGTTCACATTAATCAGCTCTTCCCTTAACTTATGAACCTGGGTCTCCATGTCAGCAATAATCTAGTGTGGAGAGATGGGCAGGAGATACAGATAGGGAGGTCACAGAGGAACAACTACACATGGCCAATCAAAACACAGATGAAAATCTACTTGTCCTTCAGGTCCCCATCAGAACCTTTGTTGTTCTGTGCCCTTCAAGCCCAGTTCCCACTTACCTAGAGGCAAATGCCATGTGGAAAAAGAACACTTCTCTATGCACTGCTTTTTCAAACATCACATTGCCTTATTTTACTTGGTCATAATACCTGCATTGGTGGAATATTGTGAGTATTCTTCTGAAACTTGCTTTTTCAAATATTCAAGATCAAGTTCCTAGAATTCATCTAATGTCCTCTATTGTGCTTTTGTTTTTCCATCATTGGTCTTGGCTTTCATTTTGTTATGTCCTTACCTCCATTTTCTTGGTTTCTTTTGTATTCCTTCTTCCAATTTCTTATTTTGGATATATAACTCATTTTTATCCTTTCTTTTCTGATTTATAAATTTGAAATTGTGTTCCTTTAGATATATGATGTTTTTATTATCACTTGCTCCAATTTACATTTAATTTCCTCTACTCCTTCCTTTGCCTTGTGAGATATATGCTTCTTAGCTCTAAAATTCATGGGACATAAGTTTCATAAGGCTGTTGTAACAAAGTACCACAAATAATGTGCTTTAAAAGAACACTAATGTTGGGCTAGAGGGCTCAGCAGTTAACAGCACTTTGCAGAGCACCCAGGTTTGGTCCCTAGCACCCATATAACATCTTACAGCCACCCAGAACTCTAGTTGAGAGGGGGATCCAGTGTCCTTTGGCCTCTGCGGGCAGCAGGCCTGCACACAGTGTGCATACATATGTACAGGTAAAACACTCATACACATAAATAAATACACAAATCTTTAAAATCTAAGAGAAATATGTTCTTTGACAGTTCTGGAGGCTAGAAACCTCAAAACCAAGTGCTGTGTGAGCTGGTCACTTATGGGCCTCTGAAGAGCTCATTCTGCTCATTTCTCTTAGATGCTGGTACCTGCAATCCACATTCAGTATTCCCGGTGTGTAGCTACAACATTCCAGTCTCTTCCTCCACCTTGCCTGGGCCTCTCTCTCTGGGTGTTTCCCTGTTCACTCTGGTTAGGGATATAGAATATGTTGCGTCTTCCACTACCAAAAATTAAGATTGTTTAACAGCAAGCTATGTTGTCAAATTTAACAAAAAAAATTTAAATTAAAAAAATCTTTACAAAAGATTTTTAAAATCTTCATGGCTAAGAAATTGGTCTAAACTTTCTACATATATTGAGTGCTGCATTCTATAAATGTCTATTGGCTCATACATTTATCTTACTGAAATATAAAAAGCGACTGAGAGATTTAGGTGCAAACTTTCAGCTAATAATGCACACTGAAATCTCTCACTGTGCTGACTCTGTTAAGTTTGCATTTACATATTTTGAGATTTTAAGGGGCATATCTCATTCACTGGCCCTTTGTTATCAAGTATGCTCTTATTAAATAACTGCCCTCCTCACCTGAGCATGAGTTCTGCCATAAACTCATTTTTCCCTGGGGTAACAACAAGTACAGCAGCTCTTTGGAGGGGCGAGTATTCTTTGGTATATTTTATTTATGTTTTCTTCTTTAAAACTTTCTGAAGATTTAGTTTTTAAATGTTTATTATGAACAGCAAAATGATTTTTAATTTTCTTCTAAAAGCTTATCAATATTTGTCTTTTAAATAGAGTATTTAGTCTAATTAATTTCTATATTCTTAAATATATGCCTTATTTTTAAAATCTTTTTTGTGCCATCCTATTTTTTTTTTTTTTTTTTTATTTTTCATTTTTTCCTTTTTTTTTTTTTTTTTGTACATTTCACATTTTCTCCATTTTGTTTTCTGGCATAATAAATCCATTCTCTCCCTTCATCACCTTTCCTGTCTTTTCTCACCTGGAAGTCACGTGCTGCCTTTCCTGTCCTGGTCCCTCACTCCCCTGCCCTCAGGGTAAGCAGCACTGGCTTCTCTCCACCACGTGTTTTGAGTTCCTCAGAAGATGTTCCCTGCCAACCCTTGCAGCATTTACTGCTGAGGGCTCTTTCTGCGTGGGTTTGACAAGGCAGCTGTTAGCCCTGTGAAGGGACTCCAGTTCATCTCTGCCTGCTTTCCAGGTCTGCCCTTTGTCTCCAGTGTTCACTGGGTTCTTTATTTTTCCTTAAGTGTGCACAAGCCTTGTTCTGTGATCAGCCTTGTTACCTTCAACTCTCTGGGGAATCTTTGACAAGTATTCCAAGTCTTTCAGTGAACTTGGCTCTTTTCTCAACTTCTTGTTATTAGCTACATGAGCTAATAATATCCATGAAACAAAAATACTGATACAAGGGCCAATAAAAGGCAACTCTGTGAAAGATAAGTAAAAACCACGACAAGATAATCCACAGACTGGGAGAAAAGTACAAAGCAGAAGACACAACAATGGAATGGAACTAGTAGGAGAAAGGTCACACCCAACACCCTCCTGGAAAAATCCATCCTGTAAGTGTACTTAGATACATTTATGAAATTAAAGTATTTCATTAATTATGAAATTACAGAAATTGGTGGCCTCAGGGGACTATCCCCTATATAACACTGCAACTGAATTAGCTGTCAACCAATGACCAAATAACATGAGCAAAAGACAGCTCTCCAGACACTTCAGAATTCAAAGCACTCACTTTAACTCAGGGTTCCAGATAAAATTAAAAGGGAATGTAAAGTAGCTAGAGCTGATCTGTAGAAGGTCATTGGTCCTTTTACACTGGTCCTATTTTAGATAGGAATGAAAGGGGTGGGTGACAGCAGGTCAGGGGTGAGTGGAAAGTATTTTACTATATCTATTTTTGTAGCTTACAAATTCTGATTGATGTTACTCATTTCCTAACCCAAATAAATCCATAGCATTAAGTAATATGTTTATGAATGACTGAAAATTATAAAGTTCCCTATTAAATCTTAGAGGATGAAACTCAAACCAAGAAAGTGAATCTTGGTGTGTTATTTATTGAAATGCTAGTTATTAATGACAAAGAAAAACAAATTAATAAATTAAAAAGAACAAATTATGGTAATATTAATCAAGGAAAGGCACAGATAAGCAATGTTAGAGATAAAAATTAAGCCATGACAAAGTCACCTACAAAAATGCATACTAGTAACTTAAATTGTAATTAAGAAGGAGTTGAGAGGTTATAAAATACTATGCCAATAACTGGGTAATTAGAAACTGAAAGCTAAGCAAATTTAATTTAATGAAATTAAATTTTTAATGAAATAAAATATTTCCACAAAGAAAACACTAAGCTCATATATTTCATAGGTAAATTTTAAAAATTCTTGAAGGATCCTATTAATCTACCTGTTATAAATTCATAAAACAGAGAAAGATAAAATTATTTACAAATTTAATTATCAGTACAATATTAATAAAAGAAGACAGGGACAATAAGAGAAATAAAATTACCAAGCAAAGGCACTTATGAATACAGGAGTAAAGGTAACTTAAAATAAATTACAGGTAGACATAGCTTACCACAGTATAAAAATAAAATAGATAATCACTTAGTTTAGAGGGCAAAGTCAGATTAAGACTCATAAAAATTTAGAACTGTCAGTGGGGAAGCTGTGGTATATATCTTTAATTCCAGTACTCAGGAGGCAGAGGCAGGCAGATCTCTGTGAGTTCAAGGCTAGCCTGGTCTACAGAGTGAGTTCCAGGACAGCCAAAAATACACAGAGAGACCCTGTCTCAAAAAACAAAATAAAAACAATTAGAACTGTCAATATCATAAAATTTAAATGAAAAAAATGTGGTATAAACCTTACTAAAAATGACCAAAATCACCAGAAAATGTGAATCACCGTGTAATCATTAATAAAAGAGAAATGCTAATTAAAAATATTTCCAGAAATTTAATATGAAGCCCAGATGACTCTATTGGTTAGTTCCACTAAATATTTAAGAGAAAAAGTAACTGAGTCTCTCACACTGCAATCTCTCAGAGACTCATCATTTAGGAACTCAGTTTGTAAAGCTAGCTAGCCTCAGTGTAAAAGCAGGCCAGTGTGAGCACCCACTGCCAGGGCACTGGTCACGATCCCTCAACAATGCTTATCAGCAAACTAAATTCCATAGTATAACATTATTAAAGCTGGCTGCAGGGCTGAACAGAAGGCTCAGCTGGTAAAGTGTTTATTAAGAAAGCGTGAAACCTGAGCTCTGATCCTAAGAGTGCATAGCAGCGCCTGTAATCTGTAATCTGAGGACTGGGAAGCAGAGGTCCCTGGAGGTAGCTGGCCAGCCTGCCTGGCTCAACTGGTGAGCTCTAAACAGTGCAAGACCCTGTCTCAGAAAACGAGGTAGAGAGCAACTGAGAAAACCATTTGGTGTCAATCTGAAGTCTACATGCCTGCATGGATAGGCACACATGTGCGCCTGTATCTAGGAACACAGAGCATGCAACGTGAGACATGGGGTAAAAATATGGAAAGTACACTTTACTCCATCAATGCATTACAAGAAAACAGCATGAAGGCCTGCTAATACACAGAAAAATATCTGATAAAACTCACATTTACAGGGTTATATTATTTCCATGAAAAAATATTTAAGGAGTTCAATGACAGAAATTCTTAGCTAATTAAGTAGGCACTAGAAAGAATGTTCTCAACCAGCTAATAGGTGCTTCAAACTTTAACAAAATTTTTTCATTGTTGTGTGTGTGTGTTTGAAGCTTTAAAACAGTCTTTTTAAAATCAAGAAGCAGCACTCTGCAGAGATGGCTCAGTGGTGAAGATCACAAAGTAGGGTATAGGGACAAATAATCTCAAAGAATTATAGTTCGTGGAAATGGCCTTATGTAATCCAGAATAATAAAAAATTAGATTCAATACAAATCCTTAGAAGTAAGTACATGAAAAGACTCAGACAACTCTAAAAGTGTAAGCCCCTGTGAAAGCCATCAAGGAGCTAAAGAGCTG